AAGATTAGTTTGGAAAAATAATATTAACCAAGTGTTAGTATATGTAAAAAGGGTTTCAGATATATAAGGAGTTTTCAAATTCGACTTCGTATGAAGAAGTTATGCTTCTTCGAAGTTTCGCAAATAAACCAGCACGACTCTGCGTATCGTAAAAAGTAATTTTTTTATAAATTAATTTTTAGCTTAAGTGATCTAAATGAAAGCCATAGTAGTCATTAAACGATAGCGTGAATATCGAGAACGTCTAAATCTGACTTCATTAGAGGAAGTTATGATTTTTCTAAGATTCAGGGCAATAGTATGCACACCGAAATCAAAATCTCGATTGGTTAATTGTTAGTCTAAACAATCCAAATGAGATTTGAAGATCTTGTTAATAAGAGTATGTCGATATAAATATCATCAAGAACGGGGTCCGCGTGTAGGAGTTACGAGTTCCGCAACGATTTTTAACAGTCTAAGTCTATCAAAAATATAAATTTTTGATAGAGTGAGAATTAGCTTTTGGGATTTAAAGTAAAGTTGTAGATCTCGTTGAGAGCTTTCCGGTGATATAAATAACATCGAAAACGGAGTTCATCTGAAGAAGTTACGCCATTTTGAAAATCTAGAAAAATCAAGCACACGAAGTGCACGACGCGCCTTGATGACGTGGCACCACAAAAGGGCGCCATGTGGCATGGTCGAGAGCTGCTTCCTCCGAGAGACATGTCAACATGGCTCCATAAAAATACGTCACGTGGCTCCACAAAAAACGCGACATGTGGCTCCATAGGAGTGTGACACGTGTCACCTTCTAGAAGGAGGCGAGGTGGGTGAACGGCGGCGCGACACATGGCAGAAGGCCACTGAAACCAGTAGGACCCCAAGGCGCGGCGCGGCACTCATTTCTTTTCTGGTTTATAAATAGATGGATTCGTATAACACTTCATCCCCACACCCCTACAGCCCTTCTTTCTCGATAATTCTCCAGTTTTAGCCCTTTTCCTTCGTTTTTGTGCTACAGTAAAGCCCTGCAACACCCCTGAGTGCTCAACTAATTGTAATCTTCGAGTACGATTTCCTGAGTTAGTATTCTGCCCGCTTAGATCTCGATTCTCATTGAAAGCACTCAGTAAGTAAGCTACACTTACTCTACTTCCGTGTAATTCATGATTATAGTGATAAGTTGTTCCTAGGAACTTATTATTAAGATTTATCAATGATTTCGAGTCATTATACTAATTGATCTACTAACGAGGGAGGTGCATAGAATGGTCACGTCGTCTTGGTTGTTGGATTTCAGAAAAACTATATGCCGAAATGGTCCTTCCTCCCAACTGTCCTACCTGGCAAATTCTTACTTGATAGATCTTGAAGTACACTTTGGGATTGTTGACGAATTTAAACCCTTAGGATAATAGTTCCACGAAGTATGAAATTAGACTAAGACTTAGTATTATATATATATATATATATATATATATATATATATATATATATATATATATATATATATATATATATCTAGGTCTTTTGGAAAAGGTGTAAGGCGAAGCTCTGCCTAATTCACCAATCTTCAGCCACTTTTGTCAAGTGAGTGCGTAGTTATTATCGAGAACATAATCTTAATCTAAAAATTATTAATACTATTAAGTAATATTAAATGTTTACCCATATTATTTATCTGTGTGTTATTCGTATAAATATGATAATTAGATTAGTAACTATATTGGGAATCTATTGTCTTTATTTATACTTAGATTTAAGAATAAGACTCGTAAAGGTTGTTTGGGTATTATAGTCAAGATAAAATGTGGTATCAGAACGGAGTAAAGTCCTACTCTTTCTTGGATTACCAGAAATGGTGGGTCCAGATCAAACAACTGGAAAGTATGTATGGGTCATTGACCAGAGTAGATGACAACACTTAACTATTCTAGGCAATCTAGTGAATTACGTATGCAGTCTAGCGAATTACGTTACTAGCATGGACTTATAACCTATGGACGTAGATAAAATGGGATACCTCATTTATCAAATCTCTTAACATTGGCTGCCTTATGTGACTTACACCGTCCAAGGATATCCATAGTTATGTAGTCAAACAGATACTCAGACAATCCATCAGGTAAGGTGATTTTTTATGATGATTGTCGAACTAGGATCTGTGAGGATTGGTTGGGTTGGGTAGTTGGTCTATACACTTATATTATCTAAAATAACATTATTATGCATGAATGATATTATTTATTATCATTAAATTATTACGGGCTTGAAAACTCTAAGTATCTCGCTATGTTTTCTCAAACCTGACTCACTTATTTTTATGCATTACAGATACTGGAATCAAGGCTACTGTAGTCTAGTTAGGATGTTGAGTGGAATAAAGAGATGTGCATGTGATATGTTGTTTCAAGACCTTTTATATTTTACGTTGTAATGTATGTTCAGATAATATGAACGAATAAGGTTTTAATAAACTAACTTTCGATATGTATTATTGAACTATATATAATTAATTAATGAAACTTTGGTCATCTTAAAAAAAATGTTTTATTTAACTGGTTCTGAAAAATAAGGAATGTTTATCATTTTAATTGGTTCTGAAAAATATAAAGAAAACCATTTTAATTGATTCTGAAAAATAAGGAATGTTTATCATCGGTTTTTAATTGAATTATTTAGATAGGGCAGTGATTCATTACAAGGGATACAATTGTTTTTAGTGGCTTCTTTGATTCGTGGGTTTTTATAACTACAGTGATGGTATTTACGATAAACAAGCGTTTTTACAACTACAGATGTTAATTCATTCATATCACTTGTTACAACATGAGTCCGCAGAAGGCCTTCTCAGGACTCCTTAGGTCATGAAATGGTCATTTTTTGAAATTTCTCTAATTTTTAATATATTTGTTTTAAATTAAAATTTAATTAAATGACAGATAAAAAACCTGAACCTCTGAGAATGTGCGTGAAAAATTGTAGCAGGAAGGCCCCATGACAGGGTGAGATGTGTGGTGGAGATGTAATTTGCAGTTGCTATGTTTAATTGATTATATAGTCGTAATAAACATAGTACAGCTTCCTTTCTCATATGTACACGTATAATAAAGCGTAGTACCTGAGTACTTGTCATTTCAACCCAATTATGCACTCGTAAAGCTTTACACTGCCTCATATTTAATGTTTCACATCAATCTTTTCTTTTAAGGTACATTACCTTTGTTCTATTTCCATCATATATATATATATATATATATATATATATATATATATATATATATATATATATATATATATATATATATATATATATATAGGTTCATGTGAGACGATCTAATTTTGTGAGACTGTGAGACGTATTTTTTTATTTTTTTTTATTTTTTTTTAGTTAATTCAAGCTCCGAAAATAATATTTAAAAAAAGAATTTTTTTATTTTTTCATTTATTTTGCATTTTAAAATTATTTTTAGAATATGTACAGTGTAATATTTTATTTAGAATATTTCACGTATTTTTCAAAAAAAAAAGATTTTTTTTTATTTTTTTTTTAGTTAATTCAAGTTCCGAAAATAATATTTAAAAAAAGAATTTTTAGATTTTTCCATTTATTTTGCATTTTAAAATTATTTTTTAGAATATGTCAGTGTAATATTCTATTTAGAATATTTCACGTATTTTTCAAAAAAAACGGGATTTTTTTTTTAGTTAATTCAAGTTCCGAAAATAATATTTTAAATTTTTTTTTTTTGGATTTTTCCATTTATTTTGCATTTTAAAATTATTTTTAGATTTGGTCTAACGATCTCACAAAATTAGAATGGTTTCAAATGAACTTGAACCTATATATATATATATATATATATATATATATATATATATATATATATATATATATATATATATATATATATATATATATATAATAACACACTCCATTGTTTAACTGTTACCAAAAAAGGATAGAAAGAAAGCAAACTTTCAAAAATAAAAAAGAATGAATGAATGAAAAAGAAAGGCAATTTGCTCAAATGAAATAACGGTTAAATAAAGCGTATTTGGCAAAACTAACTGGTAACTGGTAACTAGTAGTTGTTGTTTTTATTTGTTATATGTATATAGATGTTTGACAAAAGTAGCTAGAAACATTTGAAACATATAAACTTACATAAAATAACAATTCTATATAAATATATTTTTAAGGACAATTCTGAAAATTAATTTTAAAAGCTTAATAACATTTTGTTAAACGCTGAATGAAATAGCTTTTAGATTTGAAACGTTTTGTTTAAACTAAAAATTAAATGTTTGTACTGTCAAACGAAGTTTTTGTTTAAACTAGAAAATTTCATCAAAAGTTAAAACTAAAAGCTCTTGATCATCCCGTACCAAAAACACATATAGACCAACCTTAACAAAGGAATACAAAATTCTATGAAATCCAATACCATCCATAGAACAATCAAACCCTGAGAATTTCATATAAATCAAAATTCATTTTCTTTTATATCAAATTGGTGTTTATTTCTCCCCAAAAACATTCTTTCATACACAATTTTTTTTAAATATTACAATAGGTTCGAAAAATCGAAATTTTATTATCAATGACATAATTCAGAAGAGTTATTTTATAATCATATATTTTGTTTTTATTTGACATAACATGGAAAGACAATCTTTCCAGTATTCAATGGTTGTTCCCCGACTCAAGCTTTACAATCTTTCCAATATTCAATGGTTGTTCCCGACTCAAGCTTTTTAAGTTGTCATGTTTTTTGTCAAACCAAAAACTAACATTTCAACAAGCTTATGAGCTTTTTTTTTCGAATTCTTCCAAATATATCCGTTTATTAATTTAAAAAAAAAAAAAAATCTTCTACATACCATTTTACATATGTCTATTAGCTAGTTTTACTAATCATCATTTTCATCAATTTATTTATTTACTAGCAACTAGACTTTCAACTATCAACTAATTTTTTAACTAGTCAGCCAAACATAAGCTAAATAAAAACACCATATGAGCATTAACCATGTTCTTAATTTTCAAAGACAAAAATATTTCTATTTCAGAGTCTGAAATAATCTGAAATTCAGACCAATAAAACATTGATATAATAGAGAACCTTTCTAAAGCATATATTCAACCTTGTTCTTTTTTAAAAGCACAGGAAGTGGAGCATACAACCTTCATTGCATGAAGTACAACTCATGAAACTAAAGCTATAAAATTTAACTCTTCCTGTTTGAATTTAATCACGTGTATATGATTTGTTAGAACTTTTTTTTTTCTATAATTTCTCTTCAGTAGGATTCCCCTCCATTGTTTCCATTTCCTTCACCTTCTCAAGCTGCCTTAAAAGATCCAGCCTATCTTGTCCATACGTCGATGGAATCTTCACAAAAAAGAGAAAAATTACATTTTTGGTCCTTAAGTTTATTCAAAATTTTCAATTTTGGTCCCAAATAATTTTCTCTTGCAATTTTTTGCCTAGCATTTTCAATTGTTGTAAAATATTTTCCTTTTGCAGTTTTGGTGCCTATAGGGAGCGAAATCGCTATAAAAAGCACCAAAATAGCAAAAGAAAACTATCTGGGACCAAAACTGAAACTTTAGAACAAACTCAGGGACCAAAAACGTAAATTAATACAAATTCATCTCTCCTTATTCATTCATATAAACATTACTTACCATCGATGGAACATATCTTTGAATAGCAGCCAACATTGCTGCATGCCCAACTGCAGTCACCTATATAAATAACATTATATAATTAAATTAATACGCAAAATGCATGATATAAAAAAAATAAAAAATAAAATTATAAAGGGATATAAAAAAGTCAACTTACAGGTAGTAGCATGAGAAAGCCAATTGGAATTACAGCTGCTAAATCAGTCAAAGTTCTTCTAAGAGCTTGTTTCTCTTTATCAGTTAACTCATCTCCTATAAGCACCCTTCTAAGCAACCCTGTAGCTGCAGCAACATCTATGGCTAAAAGTTGGGTACCCTGCAACACATCCTGTTTATAAAAACATAATATAATGAGTCAACGAGGGTAATTTTGTCATTTGAGTGAGGAGGAAAGGAGTTAATGAATTATTATTATTATTATTAATATTACTGTGGTGCTTCCTTTCAACTTGTTTATGGACCTTCCGATTATATTCTCTTTCTCCTGTGCTTTCACTAGTTGAACCCCTTCGGGATCTTTAGGATAATTAGTCATTTTAAGATCCTCCTGTAGATTAAATATAAGTGATTAACTAATTATATAGAAAATATGTGGAACTACTAATGAAAAAGATTTAACCTCTTCGTTCTCAGAGCGTTTAGTGCTTCTTTCAACTCGCATTTCGAGTTCCATGAGTTCGTTTCTTAATAATTCGAAACGTTGGATTTCATTTGATTCAAGTAGACTTGTGTCATCATCATCATCCTGTAGAAAAATGATTGATTTGTATATAAAATATAAATAAAGTATAGATTATAAATAAAAAAAAATGGGATTATGAGGCGTACATTTTTGTAGGAAGTTTCTGTGGTTGGGGTTGGACGACGTAGTAGCAAGCTCCATAAGACATCAGGTTTACTATAAAAATAAAAATTGAACAAATGAGGTGTGTGAAGGTTAAGGTTAATATGAACAAATTGGTTCATGGATTCCAGTGGTAATCAATGGAATTGGAATTCAAGATTCCATTCCATGGAGTGTTTGGTTACCCATCGGATGGAATTCAATTCCGTTGGATCCCTTCAAAATCCGTGTTTCACGGATTTCACTAGTCCTATGGGTGGATGGGAGTTGGTAACATTTAGCCTTTTTTGGTTAAATGACCAAAATACCCTTATTAATACATATTAGTGATTACTATCAAATTCTTTTCCATTTTTTGGCAACCAAACAGATGACAAATGCCTTAATATTCCAATTCCTTTTGATAGATTGTATTCCTTCCAAAAACATTATATGACCAAAATGCCCCTTTATTTTACGTGCTGAGAATGATTTTGTGAACAACAATACCTGCTGGACATATCCAGGTCTACATTAGAACCAGATTGCCTCTCAGCACGACCATCATCATTTCCCTATATAGTAAGAAATATTATTATTATAAAAGTAAGTTGTAATTTTTTAAATATATAGAAATATATACCTGCTGAAGGGAATCTGTTTTGGCCCTAAATGATGCCTCAAGAAATTCAGCCTCTTTTTTAAGTTTCCTAATCTTTTCAAGATCAGAACAAGCAGCTTTTAAATGCTCCTTTCCAGAACTGGAGCTGGATACATGTAACTCCTGAAGCAGCCCCTCAAGCTTTATAAGAGCATCATCAACACTCTCTAATGCCTAAAAAAATAAAAAAATATTGAAGAGAAAACGAAAATGTTAACTTGATTTAGTGAAAATGGAGATATACCTTGTCGAAGGAATCTAGTTGTTTTTTCAATGGAGAATAACCTCCTGAACGTGTGATCTCAAAAGTGTTATTAGTGCTGCTTTCGATCATCCGCTTCCTGCATTAACATTTCATATTTTATAAATGTTTAAGGAAAAGTAAATTCAATGGAGATGTGTTTTTTTAACAGAAGAAAAGATAATATATGATTTAACAATCATCACGTAATATTGTTGGTAAAATGGCCTCAAAGATCCCCAACAATCCAAACGAAGGGAAACATGTTGAGAACGTCAAAACCGGAGAAAAAACACGGGCCTCAGGAGAGAAAATTACACTGTCTGACAAACGACTACAATCACATTGACTAATCTCTCAAGCCACCCCAAATTACACTCACTCTCTAAAGCCTTGGGACTCTTTTCATAGGATGAAGCCAACTCCACCTTTTTACACTCTGCCAAAGTGTCACAACTGACAAGTTTCTCCTTTCACATTAGCCAAACAAATCTCAACAAAAATGTAACTGTGTATACATGTTTACTTACTTAGGTATGCCTAGTTCTTCCATAGAGTCCTGTAAAATGTTGTGCCTGAAATAAATAAATAAATAAATAAAATACCACTTGGATTATCTCATTAACATATGGCAATAGCAATAGCAATATAGCATTACCCTCTAGAAAGAAACCTTGCAGCTTTGACATTAGAAGGGTTCTCAAGCCATTTACTATATTTAATAAAACTCTGAATCCAATGTGAACAAACATCTAAAACAACAGGGATAGCTTCCTCATTTGGAGGACCTTGTTTACTTTTATGCCCATGTGACCCTTTTTGAGTGTCGATGTCACCTTGATAAAATGGAAGCCAATCCAATTCTTCACATACAACCTACAAAACAATTGTGATTTTCAGGTTTTTTGTAAATTTAATTTTTTATTATTGTATATTATATATTCATCCAAATATTTTGCTAACCTCCACATACAGTTGATAAGAGCTTATTGATGAAAGCTGAGGATAGTATAGCACACTTCCACCAATAAGATACCTGATTTGAAGAGAGAGAAAAAAACCATATATTCATGTAAGAGGGTTGTGGTTTGCATTAAGTTGAAACTTGGAGGGTATGGAATATAAATATATTCAATTTTCAAAAACTTTACCTGATCAATCCTTCAATGGGCTTCGGTGCTGCTTCAAAGTTATTTGCAGATAAGTACAACTGAGTCCTCCTTCCTAAAGCAATGAAGAATCCAAAAATAGCCAAATCCTTATCCAACACCTGCACACACAGGATTATTCACACTCACCCTCACCAAAACTTACAAAAACATTTTACATTTTACTATTTTACCTCAATACTTTCACATGTGGTCAATCTTGACCATATTCTCTCTCTATCAATAGCGCGTTGTAGATGCCTCTGTACAAGACTCACCCAAAACAAAACTTCTTCAGTTCCTTGATCATCTTTCACTCTACAAGCTGCAGCTCGATGTCCAAAATGGACTAAAAACTCTCTTTTTAATCCAATCTCTTTTATAGAGCCATAAGCTTTGTGTATAGGAACAAACTCAACCAACATATCCATAAGTCTACCAGTTATCTCAGGGAGAAGAGAGTAAAACTGTGTGCAAGAAACTTTTGTGGGGCCGAGTTTTGTTATTGCTGCTATGCAACTCAATGCAAAAAGAAGCAGAGACCTGTCACTTGCATCCCCTGAAGTTACAGATGTTCCTTTTCTGACCCTGGAAAATGGAACAAGTTTTTTTCATGTGAAAGTGAAAACTTGTATATGATTTTTATTTTTGAAGTACTTACACGCCTGTAGCAGCTGAAAATCGTTGGTCTTTTTCAAAGTAATTGACAAAACTGGACACGACAGATGGCATTTGTTGGGATAAAAACCATTCATAAAGTTCTGGTTGTTTGTCTGAGAGTGCATCGCGTATTACACTTTCTAAGGGAGCGTAATATCTTGAGAGACTGCATAAAATTTATCGTTAAATAAAATTATAAATAAGAATTTTGTAATTGTATGTTGTCTTTATGATATGTAAAGAGTGGAAGTAGTGATGAGAAATAGAAAAGACAAAAGGGTTTGAAGTGTATAACAAAATTACTGTTGAAATCTGAGACTAATAGGTCAAAATAGTTAGTTTGGGAAAATGTCTGACACTTTTAGGGTTCGATTGGAAAAAAAAATAAAGTCTTAGTGGTTAAACTATAAAATTCCCCAAACTTTAATGGTCTGATATAAGAGGTAAAATTACTGATATGGAAAAATGTCTAAGGTTTGATTGGAAAATATAAAATATTAGTAGTTAAATCACAAAATGCTCAAAATATAGCGGTTTTTCTGTAATTTGGACTAAAGATTGTATCTTTTATTTCATCATGCAAGCAGAAATGAGAAAAATTGTATCTTTTATTTGGCCTAAAAATCCTACTCAAAAACCATACCTCCTTTGAACAAAAACATTGATGTCGCGATCTCTTCTATCACCACGAGATGAAATCTCACATGCTGCTAAAAGTAACGAATACACTGAGGCCTGAAATCATTACAAATTTTATATATAATTATGTGTCTAGCAAGAATATGAGGTGTACACATATGACAAGAATGTTGAGATTTGAGAATGAGAACAAACCTGATAAGACAAGGCTTTCACCCAAGCATTTTGGTCTATACCAAGCCAAGCTGTTGAAAACCATGATGATTTGGATGCAGAGATCTGATCTTTAATGGCTAATTCATATACCCTTGCAGCATCATGCAAAGATTGAATAAGTGCACTATTATATTCTTCATTTTGCAATGACTGGTCAAGTTTAACCCTCATTTCCTCAACATCACCACTAGTACTTGCTCCATTAACTGTTACACCATCATCAGCAGAAGCAAATGGGAAAAATTGTCTTGTTCTTCTTGATTTGTAATGGGTGAAATAGGAGAATTGGGGCTTTAATGATCTGGAACTAAGACCAAGAGTTCCATCTTCTAATAAACAGAGATTTATCTGATATCTCTTCCTTGAATAAACCTTACTGGATAGTAAGTAGTCCACAGAAGCTACCTTCTTGTGAAATAAACATGTGGAATGTTTACATGAAATCCATGGATTCAGATATCTGCATCACATAAGCAAATAGCCATAATTCAAAAAAAAGTATCGTGTTTGGCGTTAAATTATGTTTTCTCACTTCTGCTACCTCAGAGATTGAATTCCTGATTTCCATGGATGAAAGGTATTTCAGTGCTCGAATTAATGGATTAAGGATTAAGTGAGGCTTCAATAATCCGCCATAGCTACTAGCTAGCAACCTTTACTTAACCCTTAACAAACAAAAAACTACTTCGGAAACATTTCGATGATCAAACGACTAATGTGCGACTTATAATATTCACAATTCAAGCTTAAGCAGTTTGATTGTGTCGAATTCCCACTAAACTAATAGCTAATCAACGGAATTAGAAAAGGAAAACAAGCAATTATAAAGCGACATAGTTGCGGATAGCTTGAGATCAAAGAGATACTTATGTAAATGAAATAAAGAGAATACTTACTTCGATAGGGAAACAGAACGGGGGCAGCAAACACTAGGGAGAGCGTGAGGTTGAGAAATGGTCATTGATCATATATATGTGTAAAGAATAAGTTTCGCCGGTGACCGGTGGTTTGACGAAGCAGCAGAGGGAGAGGGAGGAATGGGGATAAGGAGGAGTGATCGGCGGAGGAGCGAACGGCGAAGTGCCACGTCGGTGAGAGGAAAAGCTTGTGGTGTTGGGAGAGGTGAGAGCGAGGGATAGAGAAAGCAAAAACAGATGATAGGATCGGGTGGTGGATACTATTCATTTCAGTTGTAACGGGTGGGTCGCTAATTTCAACGTTTCAACCCAACCCGTAGCCGATAACTAAAACTGAATTCACATTTCGAAAATCAACAAAGTATATAATTAATGGGTGTCGTTAAAGTGATTTAGATAATAAAAAAATCGGATAAGCAATGAATTAGCTAGTGATGTGATGGTTTATCCTTACAGGTAATAAATATCGAATTTATGTTATACTAGTCAAATATGTTGCATAGTAATATAATTTTATAGTTAAAATGATAACAAGTATATTATGTTAAAATATCTCCGTCATTATTAATTAGGAAATAACTATTTTTGTAACAAATTAAAAGGTTGATGTAAAATATTATCATATCATATGATAAAATAGATTAATGTTAATATTGATTCGAGCACAAATGCCCAACCGACTATCAATAAAGGTTCATATCGTTATACGTTTCATTTGATTTTGGGTTTTTACATTTTACTGTGGCAGATTGACATCCATACATGTCATTAATTCTCAAATCATATTTTACGGTATCTATTACATGAGATCATCAAAATTGTTTACGATGACCCACCATGTGATATCAGTGAATCAAGAATCATAGTTGAATTCATTGTATAGTTGATCAAATTATAATCACCTATACAATCGATAATGGGGTTTTTGGATTAGTGATTAAACTCATTAGAGAGTGTTGATGCATGGCATTTTCAAAAAAAAAACAAAAAAAAGAAAATCATTAATGGATTATTTAGATCATAGTTATCAAAATCGCGATCCTGATCGTAAAATCGTACGATCCTACGTTCGTAGGTATAAAAAATGAATTGGATCATAAACAATTCGTATTTGGTGTATAAGATTGTAAAATCGTAGGATCGAAATCTGATCTGACTTATCTTCCCTTTTTTTTGCATATGAATTTTTTTACTACTTTATGTCTTTTATCATTTACCAATTTACCATTTATTATTTTGTGTTGACATATGAGTAATATTTTGACGTTTTTACGTTGGGCATAGTAGCCCATTTTTAAACCCTAATTCTAGGGGTTATCCCTTATTTAAAGAACATTATGACTTCTTTTGAGCATCCTTATCAGCCTCCAAACCCCTACTCTCGAGTTGTGTTGCTTGTGCGAGCTTTTGCAAGTTTTTGGGTGTTCTTGGTGCTTCTAGTGGAAGAATGAGACTTGAGAAGAAGGAGTGGGTGTTAGCAAGCTTGTAGATCCATAACCCTTCCGTCTTTGTGCATCATTTTTAGGTATAAAGTCTATACCTAGGAAAGCCTTTCTTTAGATCTTCATGGTTGAAGTTTTATGAACTTTTTCCCCCAAGGTTGGACCTTTATGTGTTTGGTGCACTATAGGGAATTGTAGTTGTCCTTTCATGCATTTTAGGGCCTCTAGATCCATAAAAATGGTTCCTTGATCATTCCATTTAGCTCATGTGTGAGTAAGGTAGCTTAGAGTACATTAGAAGCTAAAGATTGTTGCACTAGGTCCTTCCTAGCCATGCAAAGGCTTAAAGCCAACAAATTTATGGATTAAGACATCTTAGATTAGTTAGATATGTGGTTGGGTTAGTTGTCTTAAAGGATTAAGACACTAACTTAGTGGAAGTAGAAGAAGACGGAGTATGTCGAGCGTACTCCTGGCTAGCTACGTTCAGCATAGCCAGTTCCTCCCCCGATGAAATTTGGATTTGTAGTACGCCCCGCGTAAGGAATGGTACGTTCAACGTACTCGTTGAGAGTTGACTTTTATTGACTTTGACCCTTGGTCAAGATTTAGGGTTTTGGACAATAAGAAGGACAAAATGGTCCTTTTGCCCTTAGAAGGTTTAATTGTGGGATTTGGACTTGCGATTGAGTTTTGGACCTTAATTATTAATTAGGGTTAATTATTTTGTTGACTAGGCGGAGTCTAGATTCGGCATTTTGGGTGCTAGATTTATGTGTCGTCAGTATCAGGTAAGTTTCCTCACTTATTGTTACATGTGTGGTAGAGTAGTAGTATTTATGATGACCAGATGGGTCTAGTTGTTATGGTTATGATATGTTATTTATATGTAATTGAGGTTGCCGATAGCCAACTAGGGTTGCAGATAACCCACAATGTGTGCTCTTAGCTCAATGGGACTACTGATAGTCCCCAAAGTTATTGATAACCCATAGTTGTTCATGTATGTTGTGTTATATGTGGTATCTGTAACATCCAATGGTAATCATCTCCCGCATCAGATCAACAATCAACCCTGGCCAATCCTAGCCATCAACTCCAGATCCTGAACCAGATCCCCTCAGGGTTGTGATTTCCTTGCTATGTGTATGGGTACTGTACAGTGATCCTAAGAATAGTACAGATGGTAGCAATTTTAACAACTAGGATGAAGGTATCATCAACTTCTAAGCATGATTGTTTAGAATAACCTTGAGTGATAAAACGTCCATTGTAGCAATTAAGGGCACCATTAGATTTGAACTTATGACGATAAAGCCAACGAAAGAAACCATCAATATCAGACCACCACCTCATCACCACAATAGGGTCCTTGGTCCCATCAAACTTTGGGGGCTTCATGTTGTCGAAGTCCCTATACTGGAGTGATCTCTCCTTTTAAATCCCCACAATAGCAATAGCCATGGTAGCTGCACACCCTGTCTGGGTGTGTCGTCCCCTTGGTCGGTAGTAATGACGTGGCAGGTGATGGGTGGTGACTCATGGCAGGATCTTATGGGAGGTCAGAGGTGATCCATTAGGTAAACTAATTTCAATAGATATTTTCACCACAATAATACACCTTATTCAAATATTCGAATCAAATTTGAACTATTGCTACTACATTGGTTTCATAGATTTCATGACTTTATTTTAACATGTTAGAATGGGTTAGCATACAAATTCAATTTTTTCTAAAGCAACTAAGATTGGGATTTATAATAAAGTTTAGTTACTTTTAATAGCACTATACTTTTAATGAGAATTAGTTTTTCCTATCAAATCCCTTCGGCTAATGACCCTCCCCAGCATACGTGGATGATCTAAGTGACCACCATCTGCTAGTACTCCTAGTGTACAAGGAGTACGCCCAGAGTAAACCCCAGAAAAATAGGGTTTTCAAGTCAGCTGCCACCATGCCATGGTCAATGCTGCCACACTATGGTGACCTGAAGGAACACGTGACCTATTTCGCCTTGCCACGTCGTGGTGACACCTTCACCATGTCGTGGTTAATGCCAAAAGAAAAGTCCAAAATTTTAAAGTGGTAACTAAATTTTACAACACATCAACAATTGCATTGATCAAAAATCTAGTTTTTAAAGGCCGAAGTAAGCAAACACTCTAGTATCGTAGTACATGATGACTTGTTTCCAAAAATATGAAGAACGTCCAAAACGGAGTTCGTATGCAAAAGATACGATTGTTATAAACCAGCTTGGAAAAACCAAGGATGTATATATGGATGACATGATAGTAAAATCCATGAAAGTCAAAAATCATCTCCAAGATCTTTATGAAGCATTAAACATCATGGATCAATTCTTCTAATCTTCATCACTCGGATTACGAGTATATCTACTTGGTCTACTTATTGCAAAAACTAAGTTAGGTCTGGTACAACTCATAAGGTACATCAGACTACCAATAATTCTTGCATATTTGACTTGTGCTTTATTCTGAATCACATTCCCTTCTTTTTTCCATTTTGTTGCGAAATACCCACTTCAAACCAACAACTGATGCATTTTCTGGTGTTGGAATTAATCTCTAAACCTTGTTGGAATTAATCTCTAATCACTTTACTATCAAACCCTAACACTAGTAAAAGTAAATTTTTGACGAAATACTTTTTAGCCTTAGTGATCTAAACGAAAGTCGTAGTAGATGTTAAACCGAGAGCATGAATATAGAGAACGTCAAAATCTGACATCGTTAGAGGAATTTATGATTTTTCTAGATTTGGCATAACAATACATAACCCAAAAATCGAATTTTAGATCGATTGATTTTTAGCCGACACAACCTAAACAAGAATTGAAGATCTCATTAAGGGAATTTTGGGAAATCTATGCATAACTACATGGTGATTGACATCTAAGAAGTGAATTGTGACATCCCCAAAATCTCGGCCAGAAAAGACCGACTTTCATTTATGCTTTTAAAATAATTTCAGAGTAAATTTTTTTGATTTGAAAGAGTTGCGGAATTTGTTCCCAAAAACAAAACATGATAAAACAATGTTTACCAAAGCATTTCATAAAAGAAATGTATTTTTCATTATATAATCAAAACTTGGCGTGTCATGTTCCGATACAGACCAATAAGCATAAACGATAACATTACAAGTCATTCAACAAATATATACATATACAGACTTGTAAACAAAACAACTTGATGGTTCATCCATCTTACGCCCTTGCACCACTTCATGTAATACAAATAAAACTGAGTGGGTCAGGCTTGGGAGCCTGGTGAGCATATAGGGTTTTCAACCCACAATAAATAATTAAACTAATTATTATCAACCAACAATAACCCAGTTACCCATTCCCGTTATTCTCACTTTATGTCCCTAAAAAACTAACACAAGGGACCTAATCTAAGAATATTTTCATCGGGGTGACAACACATGTTGCGGGGGTTCCTCAGGAATATAAGTCAAATAAGGCAACCATGAGGGGGATGTAATACAGCGAATGAACAACCAAGTGCATTAACACCTACAGGTTATGAGCCTGCTAGCGTTCCACTGGACTGTCTAGAAAACTCCGTGGTCGTCATCTAAATTCCGCTAGATGACTGGATCAAAACAACAACGAGACCTCTCATCTGTTTATTACACACCAACTATCTACCCATGTTCTACCCAACATATTAGTAGATAAAAACATACATTTTTATACATATTTTCAAAACTTGTATATCATGCTTGATCAATACATTTTCCATATAACAGATGAGGCACACACACATAACACGTATTTCATATAGAAATAATCAGATCTGTAAGATAGAAGGGAAGTGAATATACATTCACACACATAACAACCAAATATACACATAACACGTATCTCGTATAAAATACTT